AACTGGATTACTTTCATGCTAATGTTCAATTAGAGAGGACCCCCGAAAATCATCTTTGAAAGAAAATGCAGCAAGAGGAGATCAAAAGGCGCTGAAATACACATCGTGCTCGAAGTAGTAGATAAGAATTGATAGTTATGAATAACAAAATGAATGAACAGAGAATTTCGGTATTTAAGCGGTCAGATACAAGTTAGTTTAATCACGGCCGATAAAAGAGGGATAGACATGTTTCGATTGAGGTTTAGAGTACTTGGTTATGATGATTCCATCCTCAGAGTAAAGACATAAGTGTGAATAGTTCTCATTGCGTTTGACTCGCCATCGTATCTTGTACGAATATCCGCTTTTTCCTCACCACGAACAGTCGTCTCTCATCACCCATAATGAATCAAAATCTGAAATTTCAGGCCTAGATCAAACTCAGATTTCAGCCTCAGCAATTTTTTATTCGCGATAGACAGATTTTTAGGAAATTGCAAAATTTTTCATTAGGTGCACAGTACCGCTCTATATAGCATAATTAAAAAGGATGCACAGTACCGCTCTATATAGCATAATTAAAAAGGAGTAGGCGTATTACATAATGCGAAGATCAAGGAAAGATTCTGCGCGCGTGCTGTGTGGATGTTGGATACTAGTGTTCGAGAGCCTGTTCTTCGCAAAAAAATCTATGAACGCAAAGTCAGAAGAAAATGTTGGCGAATTGAATGGGAATGTTTCCAGTGAATGGTGGGTGGTCGAGTTGGTCACCATGGTCTGGAGCTTGTGATGTGGATTGCGTAGCTCTACGCAATGTGCTTAAAGAAGGGACCGGTACAGAGATGATTCCAAAATTAAGAAGAGTTCGCATGTGCAACAACCCAGCACCATTGAACGGTGGCGTCTACTGTTTTGGAGAAGAAGAGGTACAGTCTGTGATTGCCGCTTCTCCTTCTTCACACCATCTCGGCTTTCAGGAGTTTCGTTCGTGCAATCTGACATGTCGTTTGGATGGGAGATGGTCGAAGTGGTCCGAATGGTCCTCATGCTCCCCTACATGCCATCGCTTTCGAAGGAGGACATGCACTTCACCGCCTCCGACTAATGCTGGTCGTCCTTGTGCTGGAAGAGATTTGGAGACTGTTACATGCAGCGAAGAGTAAGTTTCTAAGTGACTTCCAAAACCCTTTTATTTCCTGCAGAAGATTTCGAAATCTCTTCGTCCGTTTTGTTGTGTGAGAGACTTCATGAACACTAGCATGACTCATCGCTAGCTATGCTCGTCATTATTCGGCTTTGTGAGATGTGGCGCAACTATGGTATACGGTA